GCCTCACACCTTCATCTGAAATATGGGCACAATGATACAAGCCTACCTTACAGGACTGTTCAAAGGATTGCAAGACAATGTATGTGAAGTGCTTTGAATACTGAAAACTCTATATAAATTAGTGCTATTTTAATACCCAAAATTAAGAAATCTCTGAAGGTTACAAAAAAATAGTTTATTATGTGTCTAAGCCCATCACATTTAATATGTGTCTAAGCCCAGCAAATTTGGAAAACACAACAGTGGCCACAGGATTGGAAAAGGCCAGTTTACCAGAAAACCATCTACTTTTGTTTCATTGACTATGCTAAAGCCTTTGACTGTGTGGATCACAACAAACTATGGCAAGTCCTTAAAGAGATGGGAGTACTAGACCACCTCACAGGTACCCTGAGAAACCTGTGTCAAGATCAAGAAGCGACAGTTAGAACCGGATAAACTGATTGGTTTAGCATAGGAAAAGGAGTACGACAAGGATGTATATTGTCCCCTTGCTTATTTAATTTATATGCAGAGTACATCATGTGAAATGCCGACCTGGATGATTCACAAACTGGAATTAATATTGCCGGGAAAAACATCAACAACTTCAGATATGCAGACAATACCACTCTAATAGCAGAAAGTGAAGAGTACCTAAAGAGCCTCTTGCTAAGAATGAAAAAGGAGTGCAAAAGTTGGCTTGAAACTCAACATAAAAAAAAACCCTAAGTTCATGGCATCCAGCCCCATCACTCCTTGGCAAATAGAAGGGGAAGTCATGGAAGCAGTGACAGGCTTCACGTTCCAGTGATCCAAGATCACTACAGACGGTGACTGCAGCCATAAAATTAAATGACGCCTGCTCCTTGGGAGGAAAGCGATGGCAAACCTAGACAGCATAATAAAAAGTAGAGACATCACCCTTCCAACAAAAGTCCGTATGATCAAAGCAATGGGATTCTCAGTAGTACTGTATGGCTACGAGAGTTGGACCATAAGGAAGGTCGAGCACTGAAGAACAGATTCTTTCAAATTGTGGTGCTGGAGAAGACTCTTGAGAGTCCCTTGGTCTGTAAGGAGATCGAATCAGTCAGTCCTAAAAGAAATCAACTCTGACTGTTCCCTGGAAGGCCAGATACTGAAGCTGAAACTCAAAGACTGGCCACCACCAAACGAGAAGGGAGCACTCATTGGAGAAGACCCTGATGCTGGGAAAGACTGAAGGTCAAAGAAGACGGGGACGGCAAAGGATGAGATGGTTAGACAGTGTTATCGATGCAACGAACATAAAATTAAGCAAACTCCGGAGCATGACGGAAGACGGGGGCCTGGCGTGAGTCTATGGAGTTGCAAACAGTTGGACTCAACTGTGCGACTAAACAACAACAACAAGCCCATAGTGCCATCCCAAATGAAGTTAGAATCATAGAATCACAGAGTTGGGAGGGGCCATACAGGCCATCTAGTCCAACCCCCTGCTCAATGCAGGATCAGCCTAGAGCATCCCTGACAAGTGTCTGTCCAGCCGCTGCTTACAGACTACCAGTAAGGGGGAACTCATCACCTCCCTAGGCAGCTGATTCCACGGTCGCACAACTCTGACTGGAAAAAAGTTTTTCCTAATATCCAGCCAGTACCTTCCCGCCCTTAATTTAAACCCGTTACTGCAAGTCCTCTCCTCTGCTGCCAAGTCAACAAAGTCAATGGGCTTAGAAGGGTGTGACTCCGTTTATGACACCACTGTCAGTTCAAGGGAGACAATTCTACGTTAAAGTGCAAACTGAGCGGGGGGTGGATCACTCTTCCACAATTATTCAACAACACTTGTACTAGGCTGGAAGTGTGTGACTGGCCCAAGGACATCAAGCAAGTTTGAATGGCAGAGTGGGGATTCGAACCTGGGTCTCACAGAACCCAGCCTGACACTCTAATAACTATTGGACAATGCTGTCTCTCATAGGCTGTTCGATTACATTATTTTTTTGTTATCTCCTAGGCTATAAATAAAGTAAATAAACAAGCAGAAAAACAAATTATAATGCCTGCAGCCCTAGAATCACAAGAGTGGGGCGTCTGCATACGTTCCCCTCTTTTTCCGCACTGCCCCCCCCCTCTTTCTAGGAGGACAGCAATCCAGAAACTGCAAAGGATTCTTTTTCAAAAGCATTAGTTGTTACAAAAGAGGATTACTGTCAGGTCTCCAAAAGCTAATGCGAGAGACAGAATTTAATTCTGAAGAGGGCTCGTTCTAAACCTTGACAATGTCTTGTCACCTCTAGCATGCCCGGTATTAAAGCGGGAATTTCTCAGATCTTGCAGCCTTCTCCTGCAAAGCCTTCCCCAAAACTCTTTTCCTTGGCACCTTTCCCTTCCGCTCAGATCCTGCCTGCTGAAACAGACAAGAGCTCGCAAATACCCATTGATAAAAAAGGGCTTCAAAGCGGATTATCAGACCTCAGAACAGCCAATAACTACGGCTTGGAAAGTCTGCAGGGCTGGTAATAGAAAGAGCTTTTTGAAATGGATAGGGGAGCACTCCAGGCTCAGAAAACTTGGGAGGATATTGATTTGGATTTATACCTTAATCCCGCGAGTGCCGACGGTGGGGGTGGGTGGGGAGATGAATTACTACAGCTAATAGAAAAGTTGGTGGCTGGTGCCCACTGTGGGAGCCGGGGAGGGAAGCAGATCACCCGCAAGGGCAACTACGTATTCGAAGGACTTTCCTAGGTATGCCAGGAAAATTAACATTCTAAATCAGAGAAGAAGAGAAAGAGATTGGATTTATACCCCGCCCTTCACGACCCAAGGGAGTCTCAGAGCGGCTTACAAACTCCTTTCCCCTTCCCCTCCCCACAACAGACACCCTGTGAGGTCGGTGGGGCTGAGAGAGCTCGTTCCAGAACTGTCCGTGAGAGAACAGCTCTTATCAGAGCTATGGCTTGCCCAAGGTCATCCAGCCAGGTGCAAGTGTAGGAGTGGGGAACCAAACCCAGTTCTCCCAGATTAGAGTCCGCGCACTTAACCACTACACCAAACTGGCTAGGGTGGTTCCTAAGGGTTCCCACATCATAAGAGGAGGAGGAGGAGGAGATTGGATTTATACCCCGCCCTTCACCACCCAAGGGAGTCTCAGAGCGGCTTACAAACTCCTTTTCCCTTCTCCTCCCCACAACAGACACCCTGTGAGGTAGGTGGGGCTGAGAGAGCTCTGACAGAAACTGCTTTTTCAAGAACAGCTCTGACGGAACTATGGCTTGCCCAAAGTCACACCAGTAGGTGCAAGTGGAGGAGTGGGGAATCAAACCCGGTTCTCCCAGATTAGAGTCCGCACATCTAACCACGACACCAAACTGGCTCCCTCCTGTGAACTATCCTGATGAGGACTGAGCAAGCTCCCTGCCCCCTGAGAGATGGAGAATGTTGAGGGCCGCTGAATGCCAGTTAAGGAAAATATGAAAGACACACACACCCTTGCCCTGTTATGCACACGCACTTCTCAGAGTAGTGTTCTTCTGCCCATGCCCTCTGACCTGTGGAACCAGACCTCCTTAGCTAGGTCAAGAGGTTTTCCAGCTATAAAGCTCAATTTTCTGCTCCAAAGCTATGCACCTTTCTTTATTCGGTCTTAAGATTGTGGAGGTAATCATGGATGGCTGCGAGAGTTGGACTATAAGGAAGGCCGAGCGCCGAAGAATAGATTCTTTTGAACTATGGTGCTGGAGAAGACTCTTGAGAGTCCCTTGGACTGCAAGGAGATCAAATCAGTCAATCCTAAAAGAAGTCAACCCTGACTGTTCCCTGGAAGGCCAGATAATGAAACTGAAGCTCAAATACTTTGGCCACCCAATGAGAAGGGAGCCCTCACTGGAGAAGACCCTGATGCTGGGAAAGATTGAAGGTCAAAGAAGACGGGGACGGCAAAGGATGAGATGGTTAGACAGTGTCATAGATGCAACGAACATGAAATTGAGCCATTGCAGAGGACGGCGGAAGACAGGAAGTCCTGGCGTGATCTGGTCCATGGGGTCGCAAAGAGTCGGACTCGACTGTGCGACTGAACAACAACAAAAATGGCTGTACTTGCTTTGGTTTCTAAGATCAGGTTTGTAAACTCTGTATCAGAGGCCTCAAATGTATGGAAAGGTCTGCAGGCCTCTAAGAAACTATAGCATCTTGGAAGGGGAGACTTGTATCAAGGAGAAAAATCCCGATCTGCCCTCCCATCCTATTGTTCCTCACCTTCCTCCAACTTAATAAGAAACGTGACAGTGAGTTTACCCTGTTTTTAAAAATGTGAACCGTTTGCCACTCTTGAGGAACCTGCTTCATCAGACGAAGGAACCGGACTGAAAAACATGCTGGATCGATCATAAGGGCTGTCCAGGCACCCTTCCTGCAGGATCCATGGACCCTAGGGGAAAATGGAGCCCAAAGCTTGCAAGGAAGAAGAGTTTTGCTCGTTTGCTTTAAAGGCAAGAGCAACAGAAGTGGAACGAAGAGAAAGACATTGCAGGGAGCAAAGTTTACCCAACTCTTGCCCACAAGCAAAATAACATGACCCAGATGGGTGGCTTTGGGCATCCACCTGAGCCACTAATTTGAGGAGGGGCTGTGGCTGAATGGAAAAGCACATGTCCCGATCCCAGTTTCAGTTCCTGGCACCTCCAGTTTAAAAGTGTTCGGAAAGACCCTTCTCTGTTTGAGAAAGAGCTGATGCCCCAACAGAGTACTGAACTAAGGGACCAAATATCCAAGTCTCCGGTCCCTGCCACACGGCAGGAAAAACACTGGCCAAAGTGCAGCTAATTAGAGCCGTAGCGACGTTGCTCCCCGGCACGATCAGATGCCAGGGAGGAAGATGGTCGGGAGGGGGAGGCTGCCGAACTGCGCATGTCTGAGCATGCGCAGTTCGGCCAGGAGCCGGGGATGCGCCGGCGAAAGGACGCGCTGGCGATCCCACGGCCGGCCTTGATGCGGCCATCCCAGAAGAACCACCTCGGTAGGTGGTTCATTTTTGCTCCGGTTGTGGGCGGAAGGGCCGGATCAGGGACGGGTGCCCAACGCTTCTCAGATGTTGTGGTGGGATCGCGCCTGTTTGTTCCGCCCCTCCAGAAGGCAGCTTTGTACATTCCTACTTGTTCACCTCCAACAGACAGGCAACCACAGGAGACACACTGCCAAGAGTTAGGCAAGGAATTAAAAGAATACACTTTCAGTGCTCCATACAGCATGATACACTTTCAAGGCCTGAAATTCAACCTCTCCCTTCCTTGCACAACCCCGAGGCAAACTGAGGCTTTCCAAACATCATCCTGTGAATGGACTGGGATGTACAATCTTCAGTCTGTCTGAGCCTGAAAACTGACCAGACTTACGGGCCTTTTGCAAGGATGGGTATGGTAATAAGAGCTCTGAAGTGCTTTATTAATTTCTTTTTTAGTACTACACTCAGAAGTGGTGAGGCTTCAAGATAGCAGGTGGACAGTGAACGTCTCCACGGATTCCTATTAAAAGCATTTTTCCAATATACAAATATGTATTTGTGTCTTAATTTCCGTGCGCGGTGGGAAGACCATTTTCATTCCAGTTATTTTCTTCAGCAAATTTCCCTTTTGTTCCTTTCACATTGCTTTTCAGTTCTATGCCAGTTTTCTCTCCATTTAATGTGCCACCGAGGCCGGGAAAAGTGTCAGTTTTAACAGCAAGACTGCCATTGAGTTTTATTAATATGGTCAAGAAAAAAAACAGACAACCGCAGTTTCATCCTGAGTGTGGAGAAACCCTACAAGAAACGTAAGCTTTCGAAGTGAACTAGACTTGCCACGTTTTCTGTTAATATCACCCCGTATTGAATCACAGTTACCTTCCTATTCTGCTACACGTAGCTTTCCAGACTATACCGTTCTGTGACCACTCCCAGGCAACCAACCCTTGCTGAATGCCTCGGCATTGGCCTTACCTTTCCGTCCAGCGCCATTCGTCTTCCAGTCTGGGGCTAAGAGATGTACAGGTCTAGATGTTTTGACAAGCAAGTGCTGAACGTCCCGCCAGGTTAGCAAAGGGCTAAACATAATGGGAGAAAGGCAGGCAGGTTAAATAGGCATTTGGCAGCAAACGGTGGCTATGCCAATGACGGGATTTTGAAACAGCCCCCCAAAAGGAACAATACCCAGCAGGAAAACCCTTAAACGTGGTCACCAGCAGCTTCATGAAAAACATTTCAAGTCAGGAACTGGATTGACGTGCCTCTTCAATGGCTAAGTGACTCACAGAGCATTCCTAGGCAGAGTTATACCTTCCCATGTCCCTTGATTTCAGGGCTTAGAAGGACGTATCTGCTTAGGAAATGCACTGCGAGTGGATTTCAGGGCTTAGAAGGACGTATCTGCTATTCTGCTTAGGAAATGCACTGCGAGCTGCGAGGTCCCCAGTTCAAATCACACCTCTGCCATGAACTGACTTGGTAGCTTTAGGAAAGCTACTCCCCCAATATAGGAATAATACTCCCCCGATATAGGAATAGGAAAATAACTCCCCCAATATAGGAATAATACTCCCCAAATATAGGAATAGGAAAATAACTCCCCCAATATAGGAATAATACTCCCCCAATATAGGAATAGGAAAATAACTCCCCCAATATAGGAATAATAATCTAGGCTATCGTAAGAATTGCAACAAGGTGCATAAAAGGCTTTTTAACATAGAAGGCATTAGCATCCCATGTGGGGTAGAACGAGGTGATAAACCCAGAGGCAGATGCCGATTTCTCATGTTCCTCCATCAGCGCAGCCTGCTCTGTTGGATTTCTACTTGCAAGGGGTTTTGTTTTTAAAAATGTAAGGGGACATTTTTAAAAACGGCAGCCCTCAACTGCAGCCTGAAGTGGCACAACCCATCCTTTACATCACAAGATTGACCACCTCATTCTGTCGCATATGAAGACGTATGTCAAAGTGGCTTTTGACATAGTTCTCTACTCCTCCTTTCCATCCTCAAAACAACAATCCTGCAAGGTACGTTACACTGAGAGTGTGTGACTGGCCCAAGGTCACCCACCAAGCTTCCACAGGGACTCGAACCTAGGGCTCCCAGATCCTAGTCCGATACTCTAACAACCACAATGGTTCTCAGGTGTATAAAGATTTCCACATACACCCCCATGTTAGATTTAAAATTTTTGGCTGCTCCAAAGTCAGCAGAGTCAACATATTAACCTCCAAATTTGTAAAGTCAGAATACTTAGTAGGATTGTAATTCCAAGCTTTTGCATTATCTTGCTATGTTTCTTCACTCCGCAGGTGTCCCTTAAACACTGATGTATAATTATATTGAAGCTTTGAACATCTAAAATTTGAATTAATTTCCTTTCTGGCCACAAAATAAAGCTGGGGACCACTCAACAACATTTAACATGCTCGATCCCAAGTACTTAATGGTATGTTTTATACTGAGAACTAAATGATCCCCAAATTTACAGACCTAACTCTCCCTAATTTATTTGTAACAAATGCTTCTCTTCCAACTGTGTTCGGACAAGACAAGAGTTTCAAAACAGAGCTAATTTATCTCAAAACGTAGCATGGGGAAGACAGTGTGTGTGTGTGGGGGGACAACATTTTCCCAGCCTCCGTCACATTAATGAAACAAACCGTTTCTGCCACTGTGAATTCACAGCAGCCGGCAATACATTAGCGACGGAGACAGCCGTCACAGCATGGGTGTACTAAAGGAAGTCTGACGTTTGAGCTTGGAGTTCATTTTCTTCTTCCCTGCTGTAAAAAACAGAACAGGCTGCAACATTTGGAAAGGAAAAAATAAATTGAGAATGTTCGGTGACGCTCTGTAAATATACCATCTCCTCAATGGAGGACAAGAGTTTAGAATTCAGAGAGGATGGGTCTTTCAGCAGCTATTACCTGTAATAGCTAAACGAACACCTCTGTTTCTGTGGGTTTCCTATCACTCCAATGGGTACACAACTGTCAATAGGAAGACCACTGCTCCAAAGTGTTCCTGTTGATAGTCATATACCCAGTGGGGCAATAGGGACCTCTAGGAACGAGACTCTAAGGGGACGAGTTAAACAGAACCTCCATGTTCAGAAGTGGCGTATTTCTAAATAGCTGGAGGTGGAATAATGGGTTGGCGCCAGTGTTCCCTCTGAGTTTCACATTACCCAGTTTCACCCGGTTTCAAGCTGGTAATCTTCCGTTTTGAAGTGAACCGGTACAGGGCTGCCATTTCACACAAGGCTTGCCCCTACCGGAAATGAGCCGGATCAGAAGCGGTTTGGCATTTCAGACTTGCACCGCTTTGTTTTCCCGGCGTTTTCTTCCCGCGCGGGTGATCGGGTTTTTTTAAAAGTTCGATTTATAGCGTTATAGCAATATAACGCTATGCTGGAACGCTAAACGATCGCAATGGCGATCCCATTGGAGTTTGACGTTCCAGTATAGCGTTATAGCGATATAACGCTATAAATCGAACGTTCAAAAAAAACAAAAGCCCGCACGGGCGAAAAACGGCGGGAAAAAAGCGTAACAGAACCGGGAGAGGGAACTGAAGACTACTTGGAAGCGGTTGACAGGTAAAACGCTTCAGTCCCGGTTCCTAAACGGGACAGAAGCTTTTGTGTATGAAATGTCAGTTACATTCTGTTAGGGAACCGATTCTTAAACGGGTTCTGTCTGAAATGACAGACCAGAACCCATTTGAG